GATCGAATCTTGCACCTCCCGATCTGCTCGCACACAAATCGGGGCCACCCCGATCATATCAAACATGTTTGATATTTAGGATTGAAATCGGGATGATGACGGCTATATGATTACGTCAGTACTTTCACAATAACCAGTGCGCGACCGCAAAACAGCTGCTGTACGGCTCCGTTGGATAGTGGACCCAGAGGAAACTGCTTCTTGACGTTTTGTAGTAACACGACTGTCTGTATAATGTGTCGAAAACGTATCACAACCGTAAGGAGAAAGAGAAGCGCTGGAGTGAAATCGTCTCAGTTTTGAACGTGTACGGGGGTGGCAGGGGGAGTCACGTGAGGCGCTCCCTCTGGCATGATAATCTTAATAATATCTTGTAGTGTGTGATGCGCCATGATGTTCGAATCTTGTAGTGCATGCATGTTTAAGATTTGAGAGAAGATAATCTGCAAAGATACTCCTTATGTGTGTGCTGCAACCAGATTTCATAATCGGTTAGTATTTTAAAACTCCTGTAGTGTGAGCCCGGCTTTATAAAATGCCTCACTTGGTCAAATTACAAGGAGGAATTGCATACATTTGTCACTGATAAAGCAATCTATTCGGTACTAAATAGTTACATTCGATACAAAATATAACTAAATGTTTGCATATGCTATGAATTTTGTGCACTTGTTAGTGTAGAATCGTTAGCTTAGCAGCATACTAATATCCAGTGTTGGGGGAAATAACGTGAGTTATTACGAAAAAGTAATGCAAAAGTACCATTACATTACATAAAAAGTAACTAAGTAATGTAATTAGTTACTTTTTTATAGAGTAACGCAATACTGTAATCATGCATTACTTTTAAAAAATAACTTTCCCCAACACTGCTAATATCGGACTATTGCAATATTAGGGTTTTGAGTCTCAAGTACTTCATGTGAGGAGCGCTATTTGTGTGGGATGCTTGAGGATTGGAACAGAGCCATTGATCTAAACTAAAGGAATGATTTACCCCCCAAAAAAGAATATTACATTACAATCATTTACTCAACCTGTATAATTTTTCACAAATGAGATTTAAGATCTACAGCAGACCGAGCAGAGTGACAGATTTTAAGTGAATAACAACCTAAATTGTGACCTGTTCTTCTCACTCATTTAGGGTGACAGCGGTGGGCCTCTCGTCTGCTACTCACAGAACACCTTCGTCCTTCAGGGAGTGACGTCATGGGGTCTTGGCTGTGCTAATGCCATGAAACCTGGAGTGTACACCCGCGTCTCCAAGTTTGTCAATTGGATAGAGCGCAGCATGAAAGAAAACTGAGAATGGATTAGTCGAAACATAAGCAAATTTAAGTGTATAACTAAGAATGTGATAACGAATATGTTATTGATTCATAAGCTGTTTTGAGGTTAAGTAACGCACCATGTTCAGAAGTTTAGCCCACTGTTAGTCTGTACACTTATATGCACAATCCGGATGTGTTGCGATTTGAGCCAATTCCAAGTGATCATGTTTTATTACAGAACTCTTCAAAGACCTTAAAATGTAATCAGATCTAATATAAAAATGTTTTACATTAAAGGGGCGGTAAACATCTTTCGAGAAAGTCTCTTTATTTTGCTGTTACAGTGATAATGCAATGTTCAAAACCTAATAAGTGACAGAACAAATAAGTACAATAACATTTACTATTAGCATGAATAATTTAAGCCAACATTTTAAAACATACATACTGTAGATATTTTACGGAGTTATTTAAAAAATTTTAAATAAACATTTTGGTCAAAAAAATGTATTTAAAAAATGTAAAATTAAAACAACTAAGAGAGAAAACAAATACTAGTAATGTCTGAGAACAATAATTACAGCTCGGAACAATTAATGGTCCTTTGAACTTTTTTTTGTTGTTGCTTGATTACCCATCAAGCAAAACTTGTTGATCATTGAGAAACGGATTTCAGTTAGTATATTTTGATTAAATCCTCAAAATAGAAGGGATAAGTAACATCACTTAATAATAAAGTTAAAGAGGTTGATGTTTTCCGTCTCAGCTCAATCAGACGGCTGTAACGTCTTTGTTCGATGTCACATCAGAGGGCAACAAATTCTCTAGCTGTTGACTCTTCAGCTGGTTTTCTCGGTTTCTGCATGTACAGTTCACATTAGTGTAGAAACGTTTAAGGTGACAAAGGTTACCATGGCGTACATGTGCAGGGAGTCAAACCTCACCTGTTTGGACATTCGATGTCATCAATGGTTTCTGGAAGAGGCACACCTTTGGTTTCAGGTAACAGCAGAACTAGTCCACCGGCCACAAACGCAAGAGCACCTGTGAGAGAGAGCGTTCACTTCAACAGCCTCACACTGCAACTAGAACATACTCAACGTCACAACATCATGGCCAAGTGTGACGTCTGTTTGTTTATTTTTGAGGGGCACCAGTGAAGTCAAGCTTGGACATGACCCAAAGGAAAACCTTTTTAATATTAGTTTCTGTATAGTGTGCAGAGGGGAGCAGGTTTCAGATGCTGCAATAATATACAGTATACTTTGGAATAAACGAAGCAAAACTTCAACTGAATTTGACTGGAATCCATGTAGAAATGTTTATCCGATGGGTCAAGGTTTGTTTGGATAGCATTACCATGCTAGCCCCTGGTGGTAGATGCTATAACTACACCACTGAGGAAGCAAAAACATAAATAGTGTATATCTAGTATTAATATATCCATACATTAATACATACTTCGCTTTGCCAGTGGCCATTTTTGCAGACAACTTTCACAAGTAACTTTTTAAACAAGTAACAGATTTAATATATATTATAAATTAAATAATTTTGTAATATTATAGTGCATTTATCATAGGCTATAACTAATTATAAATACATGCTTTTAAAAATATAAAAATATTGCATTTTAGTATGCCTTTTCCAATTTTTTTAAGAAACATAAAACACATTATTATATAATACTAATATATATATATATATATATATATATATATATATATATATATATATATATATATATATATATATATAAATAGTAAATAA